AGGATTTTGTTGTGTACTGCGATGCATCCATCTCAGGTTTGGGCGCGGTATTGATGCAAAGAAGGCATGTCATCGCCTACGCGTCGAGGCAGCTGAAGCCTCACGACGCAAATTACCCGACACATGACTTGGAGTTGGGGGTGGTTTTGTTCACCCTCAAGATTTGGCATCATTACCTCTATGGATTTCGCTGTACCATTTACACGGACCATAAGAGTTTGAGGTACCTTATGGATCAGTCGAATCTAAACATGACGCAGCGGCGGTGGTTGGATGTGGTAAAAGATTACGATTGCGAGATCTTTTTTCACCCAGGGAAGGCCAATGTGGTGGCCGACGCGCTTAGCCGTAAGGCAGCACCGATCCTAGATATCTGCCTATGGATGACAGTAGTGACTCCACTATTGGAGCGGATTCGGGAGTCTCAGCAGGAGGCTATGAAGGAGGAACATCGGAAGAGTGAGCGGACCATCCAGACTCTTGAGGATATGTTGCGGGCATGCGTGCTAGATTTCGGTGGTAGTTAGGATACCTATCTTCCTTTAACTGAGTTCTCATACAACAACAACTACTACGTGAGTATTGACCGTCTTCCCTTCGAGATGTTGTACGAACGGAGATGCAGGACCCCGATATGTTGGGGAGAGGTTGGCCAGAGGGTCATGGGAAGTACCGAAGTGGTGCTGCAGACAACAGAGAAGATTCAGCAGGTCTGGAGCAGGCTTCAGACTACTCAGAGTCGGCAGAAAAGTTATGCCCGACAAGCGTCGTTCAGACTTGGAATTCCAAGTCGGGGATATGGTTCTTCTGAAGGTGTCGCCATGGAAAGGCGTCATCTGATTCAGAAAGCGAGCAAAGTTAGGCCCAAGGTACATCGGGCCATTCAAGGTTGTAGCACGGGTAGGCACAGTGGCGTATAGGTTGGACCTGCCAGCCAAACTCAGCCAGATCCACAACACTTTCGACGTCTCTCAGTTGCGAAAGTGTTTGGTGGACGACTCGGTAGTGGTGCCCTTTGGAGGATATTCAGGTCGACGACAGCCTGAATACATCGAGCGGCCTGTGGAAATCCTCAACAGAAAGTCGAAGGATCTGAGGAACAAAAGGGTGGAACTCGTGAATGTGCAATGGCAGCACCGGAAGGGATCGGAGTGGACTTGGGAGCCAGTGGAAGAGATGATGGAGCACTACCCCGAGCTGATTCAGGATCGAGCAGCAGACTTCGAGGACGAAGTCTAAGATAAGTGGGGGAGATTTGTAGCACCTGGTTCCCGGTACGTACTCCTTACAATTTACATTTTTTTAAATAATGCATTTTTACCCTGGACTCGGCGAGTTGATGAGCCAACTCGCCGAGTAGGAGCGGGATAAGACGCGGGGTTTGAACTTTGGACTCGGCGAGTCGGTCCCCGGACTCTGCGTGTAGACCCTATTTGGGAAAAAAAACCCTAATCCGGGTGTTTGCACCCTATTTAAACGCTCTAACTTGGCCTCCTTTGTCCCTAACACTTCAAGAGAGCTTTAGAGCGAAACCCTAGCCCCCATATTGTTCTTGAGAGTGTTTTTGGCTTTGTGAAGAAGGTTTGGAGCTTAGAAGAAGAAGGAAGAGATTAAAGTGTGCAAGGAGGGGAGGTAGATCCGAAATCTACACTGTGAGAAGCTTCCATTCAGGTAGAAAAGTTCTTACCTTGATCGCTAGTTCATTAGATCCCTTTTTGTCCCAAATTAGTGGTTTTCAAGCCCTAAAACCTCAAACTCCATGTGTTTATGCTCTATGTTCTGAAAGGACTCCAGATTTGGACCTTATGGGTGTATTAGAAGTATAAAGTTTTTGTGGTTGAAGTGATTGAGGTCCCCATTGAGTGTATGACCTCATTAAGAGCTTGGTTTTGCCTGTTTGAGCTTATAGGGTCATACATGCACGTAAAGTTTACAACTTTACGTGATAAGCATGCCTTAGGAACATGGATCTATGGTTTGGAAGCGTTGCATGTCTCAGATTTGGTCTGTATGGGAAATGGGTCATAGGGACTCGGCGAATCCCAAAGTGGAACTCGGCGAGTTCTATGAATGTGGCCTTAGACACGACGAGTTGGATGAACTACTCGACGACTCATATGAATATTTCCTGGAACTCGACGAGTTGTTCTTCAAACTCGGTGAGTTGTTCTTGGACTCGGCGAGTCGGATCGTGAGTCGGTTCTATAGTCCCAAGTAGTCAGTTAAGGGTGACTCAGTGAGTGGGAAGAGGGACTAGGCGTGTAGGACCAGGTTAGTAGGAGAATGACTCGGCGAGTCTGTGCCATGACTTGGCGAGTCCAGTCAACTGGAAGTTGACTTTGACCAAGGAGTTGACCTTGGACCAGGGGTAGGTCAGTCATTTGATCTGAGGGTATTTATGAGTGGCTAATCTATGTTTATGGATTTGTAGCCGAAGGATTTCCGGTGCAGCAGTCAGACATCTGACAGTCAGACTTTTGGTAGCTACTTTTCTAGGTGAGTTTCCTACCAGTAGGAACGGGTCTAAGGCACCAAGGTCGGCCCGTATAGACGATATGATAGTATCGGAGTGTGGGGAGAGCCCGTATCTCATAGTTGAGTTTGATGATGATATATGCTAGTGTGGTAGAATTGTTTATACTTGTTGTCTGTGTGATACTTGTATGTTATGGTTTAGTAGCGGAGTGTGGGCGAGGCCCGTATCTCCCAGATAGCGGAGTGTGGGTGAGGCACGTATCTCCTAGATGCAGAGTGTGGGCGAGGGCCTGTATCTCTTAGTTGTTCATTATATGTTTGTATGGTATGTGGTATTATGGGGGAACTCACTAAGCTTCGTGCTTACAATTTAGAGTTTTGGTTTCAGGTACCTCTTCAGCGAAGGGGAAGGAGCTGCCACGGTAGCGGCATATCATACACACCTTTGTTTTCCGCATTATGAGATTGTTCTGGGATTTGTACTCTGACACTATGGTTGATTCCATGTATTGGTTTCGAGACACGTAACATGATTTAAGAAACAATATGATCGAATGTTGTTTATTTTCAAATATTTTACAAGGTGTTTAATTAAAAATGAAATTTTTAGACTTGAAAAAAATTGGGTAGTTACATTTTGTAACTTAAAAATGAATATATATATATATATATATATATATATATATATATATATATATATATATATATATATACAAAAACACGAAACAGTAGACGAATTAGCGAAACAGTAGACGAATATCGAAACCTACGATTTCGTGGGCTATATTTGGACATTTATTAATTTTTGGCTAAAAATTACTAATCACTTCCCTAAAATGATTAGTTTAGTAATTGCCCAAAAAAATTAGGATTATGTAAAAGAAAAATGCTCCAAAATATGATTAGATTGCTTATTTTCTTATAACATTATTGTAACGTTACAAGGGACGGATGCAAGATTCTATAGTAGGTGTTGGCGGTCCGTAATAGGTGTTGCCAATCCATAATAAGTGTTGCCGGTGACATATTTTATAGTAGAAAAAAGAAAAAAAAAATCAAAAATTTTACACTACATCGGGAAAAACTAGGTGTTGCCGGTACCACCGTTTGCACCATACTAGATCCGTCCTTGAACGTTACTTTAAGAGTATGGTAAAAAAATAATAATAATAACAAAAATAATAAAAAAAATATAATTTTTCAATAAGTTTTTTTTTTTAATAAACATAAAACCATAGTTGTTTTGATAAATAAAATCAAAGTTTTGCTATTTTGGTCTGGGATTTCACAATAAAATTCAGTATAAACCAAGTATCCCCTTAATATTCAGTATCAACTTATTGGATATCTACTTTTAAGTTTTGATCCAACTTTAAGAAAAGTAGTATGAATCCAGATTAGATTTCTCTTCAGGAGGACAAAAAAATGATCATGATCGCTTAATTCGTCTCATAATAATTATAACTGATTTTGTTTTTGAATTTTAAGGCTGGTTATTTTGAATTCATGTGTTCCCTCGATGTTCATTAACTTTTGCATAAAATATTTTCCTTGATAATAGAAATTTTGGGTTATTTATAATTTATGTCTATGGAAGTTTCTTTAAATTTAAATCAAAAATGCTCAAGCTATTGTCTTTACGAATTTCATATAAATTAAAGTTTATTTTGTATTCAATGGAACTACGTTTTGATCATTACATCACGAATTACAAGAAATGCTTTAAATAGATGCATGATCTTAAAATGGCTATTATAAATGACAAAGAGTGACCATGTAATACTTCAAATTAAAAATAAATTTTATTTTTCAAACATAGTTAAATATTTGTTTATATCTGTATATAAATACAAACACCTTTTACCATTCCATCTTTTTTGGTTTAACTTTATGCCTAACTTATCATTAATTATGAAGATCACCTCGACTTTTGCCATGCCAAAGCAATGGGTGAATTGTTTAAGTTTTGCCAGAGAGTGAAAAAGGTTTTACTATAATTTACTTTGCTCTTTACTTATTGTAATGTAACCCAACAAACAAGATCGTAAAAACTTATCCAAAATAAAATCCCATTATTCATTATTCATTGTTGAATTTGTCACAAACTTTCTTACGAAATTTTGACATTTTGAAGTAATACTTTGATTCAACTAAAGCTATCAAAATGAGAATGAATAAAGTTTCATGATTATAATAGATAGTATGCATCATATATAGGAAATTACTATATATGATCTTGTTATGCATGTATGTATGATTAACGATTCGATATATTTATCTAGTAACTATTTTTTGTGGACTTCTGAATTATATATATATATATATATATATATATATATATATATATATATATATATATATATATATGAAGTACAAGTACTGATACTTTTATGTTTATATTATTTTAGAACCATTTGATTTTTCTTAGGGTTCTAATTATTTAAGTAAAATTGAATTGGCACGACCTTTTTTCGCTGCCCTACTTTGATGATAAAGCAAAAGCAAAGAAAAAAGTAAAATTATATAAAACAGAAAAATAAATAAAAAAATAAAGAAAGAAAAGAGAAAGCTAATAAAGAAAGGAGAGAATACAAAGACAAAAAAGGTTCTCAATACCCCATCATTCAAAACCACACTCCTCTCTTTCTCTCTCTCTCTCACTACTTAATCAAGTATCGGAAGACCTCTCAAAGTTTCTACAAAGAGTGGAGTGTTAACTTGGGGGAGATTCAAGAAAAAAACAAATTGAGAGCGAGTGATCGAGCAACAAAAATATATTAAAGTTATAAAAAAAAAAAAAAAAAAAGGGGAAAGCTAATCTTTTGTATGCTTGTTTCTTTTGAGAGGAGAAATGAATAGAGGAAATATGTTGCAAAGTTCACCGGTGCAACAAATGCTTGCCGGCGGTCCAAACAACTGGTGGAGTATGATGGCTGCCACCAGACCTTCCCCTCCGCCAGCTCCTCCTCAACCTCCCTTCTTCGCTGCTTCTGCACAACCACACTTCTTCCATCACCAATATGCACCACCACCACCAGTTTCACTATCTCCATGGCATGATAATCATCACGACTTTCCTGATTCCTTAAGCCAATTACTCATGTAAACAAATCTCTCTCTCTCTCTCTCTCTCTCTCTCTCTCTCTCTCTCTCTCTCTCTCTCTCTCTCTCCTATCTTTTTAGCTTAGGGTACATGGGTTTCTTCATAATTAAGTCCCTGGGTACAAATGTTTGAAGTCTTTTTGTGCTTCTTTATGGACAACAAAAAGACAGATCGAACACTCATACACATGCATACTTTGACTGATACTCCGATCTTTGTACAAAATTTAATAGGAGCGGATTAGTGGGAGAGGACGACAAGTCAACTTTGAGTCATATGCAACAAGTCAAGAAACTGGAGAATTGGGAAGAACAACTACTTCATGATCATCACAATCATCATCATCATCATCAGCAGATTAATCCCATGGTAGAATCTGGAGTGAAGCAAGAAAACTCACTTAATTACGGATCATCATATGGCCATAGCAACGTCGACTTTCATGGCGTTAAACCAAATACTTGGTCTAATCCAATGATCCCCGTTTCATCTCCTAACTCTTGTATCTCGAGTTTGAGCAACAACATGCTTGATTTTTCTACCACGATTAGTAACAAAACAGATGGAAGACACCCTCCACCAGATCGCTCATCTGAGGTTATAACTCTCTCTTTTTTTTTTTTGATAAAAAGTGTAAGATTTCAATCAAGATTTCTTTCGACTACATGATCGTACCATATTTTTCTGTTAAGTCACATGATCTCTTCTAACCATGGATTCCTACTTATTTGTGTTCACTTATGGTTCAAGTACTATATATAGCATTTAATTGGTAGACGACTAGTTAATCTGTTCATGGCAGAAGTACATGAACTTGCGTAATTTTGATAGCTCACACCTTCTCATTCTTTCCTTTTTTAATTTTTATTTTTTCGATTTATGAAGTGTAATAGCACTGCTACTGGTGGGGTATCCAAGAAAGCTAAAATTCAACCTTCGTCAAACCAATCTACCTTCAAGGTAATTTAACTTAGCTCAAGTTAGATCTCTACTCTCGATCCCTTTCTTTGTTTCACAATCACACAAACACAGAAGGTGGAAAACCCAAATAGAGGAAGAAGTACTTTTTGGAAGATAACTGTTGTCCTTCTTGATTGTCGGTTTCTTTAGTCCATAACGATTCTTTTAGTTCATCTGTGCTAATTATATCCACACAAAGAGATGATAAAAAGTCTTTTAAAATATATATATAAAAGAGGTGTATATATATTAATCATTGCAAAAATACAATTTGTTATTTTGATTCTTCTATTTGTTTTTTGATGTTAAAAATAGGTGAGGAAAGAAAAATTAGGAGACAGAATAACAGCACTTCACCAGCTTGTTTCTCCGTTTGGAAAGGTATAGTATGCTCTATATAAATTTTCGCATACTTAAGCATGAATTTACGTAATTATTAACGAAGATTAATGCGAGAGATCGAGAAAAGGATGAAACAAGAGGATGATATGACATAATTCTTTTTTTATTTTCCGTAGAATAATTATTGATGGTCTTATCAAATGAAAATTAATGAGAATAAATATATCAAAATAATTACGTCAAATCGATTCAATAGGAAGTATTGCTATAAAAAATAATGAAACTGTTTGCTAAAACAAACCATCGATATTCTGTCGTCTATATTTCTTATTCGAGTTTTTTTGCATGGTGTGCATTTATGTGGATAATCAGAAGAAAACAAAACTACGTCAATAAGATTTTTGTTATTAATAAAAAAATAAACAAGAACAAAATATCTTCTCTATAAAATAGTCACGATCTGTTTGCCAATACTAACAATTTTCTGTCTTAAGTTTTTTTGAAATGTATGGAGTATGAAGTTTCCATTTGAGAACAAAAGAAGCACCCGTGAAGAGTTAATATGATTCCATAAAAGTTATGACATGAGAAAACCTAAAACCATAACCAAATTTACAACTAATGTATTTTATAAATTGATTTTCCTTTATAAAGAACGTAAATCATTGATAAACAATGTTTTATATCTCATTCATAATTATTTTTCTATAAACATGAAAGGGTAAACAAAAAAATATGAGCGTTACTAGCTCGTTTATAGATAATAACATAGTTTTATATATACGAAAGTAATAACTATATTACTCAAAAATTATATTTCAAGCTTTTTACATGAACTTATAAAATTAATAAAGAAATGAAGAACAGTTATTTTTTCAAAACATTCCTCTCTCTCTCTCTCTCTCTCTCTCTCTCTCTCTCTCTCTCTCTCTCTCTCTCTCTCTCTCTCTCTCTCTCTCTCTCTCTCTCTCTCTCTCTCTCCAGAAATAGTATAGGAGTGAATAAAGCATCGTTTTTTAAGAAGACTATGGTGGTTTCAGCTTTGAAAAACTTTTTATGCCCAGTCTTGTCCTTGTAGATGAAATTTTTCTGTACAAACTTAAGATGTTTCGCTAGTTAAAAACAAAAATAATAGTTTACTCGAATATATATGATGTTTGGTATCTTTAATTATGAGAAAACACTTATATGAATTTTCATTTTATTTAATTTTGGTGCAGACTGACACAGCTTCTGTGCTGTTAGAAGCTATTGGTTACATAAGATTCCTTCAGAGTCAAATTGAGGTGATGCTACTTTCCTTTCTTCTGTGCTTCTTCTTCTTCTTTTATTCATCTTTCACAAACTACCATGAGGGACAGTCATGCCACATACAAACACAAAAACACACACACACACTAGCTAAAAGCTTCACTTCCTTAATATTCCATCAAAATTACTTTGCATTTTTATAATGTTATATAAACATTCTGTGCCTCAATCCCATATTAAACTATATCTCTCTGTCAAATGCATGTTTTTAATTTCTAAAAAATTATTCCCTCTGTCCAAATGAGTATAAGTTGTTTTTTTATTCTCAAGAGTCAAGTGAAAAAGTTTATAATTATGACATGAGTGTGTATAACTTTCTGAATTATTTAAGTTGCTTTTACTTTATATGAGAAATAACAATCTATATATGGAAAATGCTGAAAAACAACTAAAACGTTACATGAATTAGAATTTTTCTAAAATAATGTTATATGTCATAGGTTTTTTTTTTTTTTTTAATTTGTGTTGCAGTAGTTCATAAATTGCTCATAATCATTCATTTTTAAAATAATTTTCTTATATAGAAAGAATCATATTTAAATGAAATTTAATTAACTAAAATCGAATTCAGATTACGCCAACTTTGTTAAAGAAAAAACAACTGCCAATTAGATTGATCTATATACGAAAAGATCACAAATTAACATTTGACTTAAAGTAACAAAATATTCGTATCGAGTAAACGTGTTGATATTTGATAGCTCTAGACTTACAAATACAATAAAATGTAGACAGAAATTAATATAAGATGGTGGAGTTAATTTGTGTACGGCTTTTAATGTTTTAGGCCCTCAGCTTACCTTACCTGGGCAGTGGATCAGGAAGCATGAGAAACCATCAACACTCTGTAAGTATATATACCATACGTTATACACAATCTTGTATACAAATATATAAGTATTCATGTACGTATAATAGTTCTAAAGGAAGCTTCTTCCTACAATGATAGAATCGACTATATAAATTTCTACCGAATTAAGGATAATGTTAAAGATGTAAAATACAATGAATGACGATTAAAGAAGAGATTTCCTTTGCATGTGGATCGACCCAATACATCCTACTATCTTTTCTATTAATACGTATAGTAAATATATACATACATACCATATGTATGTATATATTCATCTCCCCTAAGCAACAAAACACAGACACATCACCTTTTTCTCACTCTGCCGCAATGCATGTGAGTGTTCACACGTGAGCATGTGGGGAAGGTGTAAAAGATTTAGATAATTGTTTAACTATTTAATAACTCTTTTTTTTTATTATATATATTTAGGTTCATCAAGGGGAGAGAAATTGTTTATTTCCTGAAGACCCAGGTCAGGTATATATTTCTACTTTTATACTCTGAATAATTAACTTTTCTATTAACATTCATTTCACCAAAAGCTGACACATATTATTGTAATCATATTGCTAATTATCGCTAATCTTTTTCCTTACACAGCTTCTGAATGATAGCTGCATGAAGATGAAAGGATCTGCTCTTGACCAGGTATTTTTTTCCTTTATTAGTCAATTTAGTTTAGGATAAAATCCTTGATTTTTCAGAATGTTACTTTTAAAATCAACGTACTTTATTAGTATGAATTTGCTTTTCAAGATTAATCATGGTACTGATAATTGGTTAAAAATGAATTAATTTAGGATCCTAATGATGAACCAAAGAAAGACTTGAGGAGTAGAGGATTGTGCCTTGTTCCGGTTTCATGCACAATGCAAGTTGGGAGCGACAATGGAGCGGATTATTGGGCTCCTGCTCTAAATGGAGGATTCCGATGAATGGATGAAAGGTTTAGGTCTAACATATTTCATGGGCCGGGGTTATGATTTCACACATGAAGAAGAAGAAGAAGATCCATCAAGAAATGAGATAACATCATGAGCAGTCACTCTGCTAAAAAATATTTCCAAGGCTGATTGCTCATGATGCTATGCATCTCTTGGTGCTTTACATATGATCTTGTGACAAAACTTATGGTTGGGGCTTTGATCAAAAGTCCCTCCAACTATCTAGCTAATTTTTATGCACTTCGTTATCCTTTCCCTTCCACTTCTTTTGTCCTAGTATGTATCATGTAGAATTTCAAATATTTGACATTCTAGTATGGTTAAGAAAATAGTTATTTAATGGCGTTCACTTTAGCTACCATTTAGTCATGTGTAAAATATACACATCAATTAACGTAACATTTTAAGTTTATCACAAATGCAACGACTCTCTTGGCATAAAAAACGATATATAATGAGAAAGAGACAACCTAGCATTAAAAAGATTGTATGATTATATTAGTAAGACAATACAACACTTCTAGATAAGTTTTTCTCCAAAAATGGAATAACACATGAGACATACACAAACATATATAAGTACACGTGAACCAGGACATCACATGTTTCTTATATCATAGTATGTCACTAGATTAGATGTTTTAATTTACATATGGCTTCTATGCACGTGTAGTCATTGTACTTTATGTGTTTTTAATTATTAAAAGATAAAACTAAACTTATGAAAAAGTCATTGTTATAGTTAAAAAAACTACTATAAGGTGGATATTAATTTAATTTGGAGAAAAATAAAATAATTTTATGGAGACAGTTAGCGAGATGCTATAGGAGGAAACAAAATCCAATGCATGAGAGCTTTTCTCCTTTGTGTCAAACAAGATACCATTATTTTGCTTCCATGTGACCATAAGTAAGCCAACATAAAGACATCAAGCCTATGAGACTTCCCCCTCACACACCAAACAGCCACCTCTAGCCGTCCTCCACCAAGCTAGAACTAACAGGAACACTCAACCATTCGATGTGGAGAAGAGTTCCAAACTCTATCCCTCGAGAGAAATCCACAAACAAATGATGATCATCTGTTTTAGGAGTAACATTACACACCGGCAAAAGTTCACAAGCCAAGTTTACTCCTCTTGCCAGGTTTCTCATCGTGAGAAGTCTACTGAATCGTGTCCTCCAATGACATTACGTGGCACCTTTCCACACCACCTCGAGGCGATATTGGACCCAAGGGAGGGACCAATAGGTTGTACGGGGTAAGACATCATTATTTGTAAGCTTTTTCAGGTGATACTCGATTTTTCATTGAATACTATTAATTTGATGAATTTGATGTGTTTAACAGGTAATATGGAAGGCTAAAATTCTTAATTAAGATTACTTTTAGGGATGTATAATGTTAGGATAACCATATTCTTTTTATTATTTTTATTCCAATCAAATTCAGTATTGTTTAGCAATCATTAATTAACATTATTTGGCAATAATTTTAATCACGTGTTTGGTATTATAACTAAGACATGGTAATGTCAATTCACTAGTCATTCTGAGTTCAAGTACATTAGGCTATTGCACCGGAAACTACTGCCACATGTGCATCATATCAGCTTTACACCCAACCTGCCACCAATCCACTAAATATTAGATATGGTTACCAGTCCACATTATTTATATTTTTATTTTTTTCATTTTAAAACATTCGATTAAATAAAAAAATATTATTATACTTAAGTAATAATTTTACTAATTACAAAATCAAATAAACATATTATTAATTTTTAAAATTAAACAAACATAATTATATATAGTTAAAGGTTTAACTTAATTTAAATAAAAATAAAAGGAACTAAATTTGTAACTTCAATTAAAACATATATATAATGTCCACGGTTGTTTTCTTCACCCGTTTTCTTCGCCCGATACCCTGTAAAACGAATACATCCATTTTTTCTACTTTCATTGATTATAAAGAAAAACCAACGAAATTAAGGGGCAAAAAAAAAGCAACCAATAGGAAGCTCCGTCTTTATCCGTCTTCCGCTTCACGTCACAAGCAAACCACCCACCCTTGGGGTGGTGTTCACGCGTGGGAGAGGGTGCCACCCCAGCCCAAGACGTGTGAAAATGCCGCCATACCGGGTAGTCTTACGAATTAAGATGGCTAGTTGAATCAAGAGACACTATGCTAAATATTTAGTATTATGATTAGCATTGTAATTGATAATTATAATACATAATATTTGTCAAACCATTCATTGTTCCTAATTCAAGCGGATGTAAGGCGGTGTAATACAATTAGCTGGCTAAACATAATATATCCCTAAGATTATTTATTGCATGTTAATCAGCTTTAATTATAACTATATAATTAAGTTAGAATTGAAGGGAAGATAAAAATAGGAATCCGAATTATTCAAACAACAAAATTAGAATTTTTTTTTTCTCATTGACAATTTATGGTTTGAAGTATAACATAAAGTTCTCATATGTTAAACAATTGTTTACTTCAATTAAATTCAGAATAATTACCCTAATTAGTTTTCTCATCGACTATACGAATACAAGTTTTGGCCAAAAATTTCATGTGGAATCACTTGATTTACCCTAAGAATCTAGGTGTTGTTGCTTATTCATAGTGCTATTGAGGAAAGTCAAATTTTGGCCCTGTTGTCGTGGAGATTTTGGGATTAAATTAATATGTAACATCTGGATCCTTGAGCTATGGAAATTAAATAAATTATGAGTTTTGTGTCGGTCACGATGTGATGAAGGTATCATCACGATCTGGCATGGAAATATGAGTCGTGTGTTTCGTTTAGGTGTTACGAGGTGACACTAAATTTGGCACAATGTGACATCTGATCCGGAGCAAACCGTAATGTCTAGGATTAAGGCCTATTTAAAGGAAGTAAGGGCTAGGTTTTTATCCACCCTCAACCTTGATCTCCTCCTACACCCCCTTGAAGAAACCCTAATCCCTCCCCTCCATTTTTATCTCATCTTGGCAGTCTTGGTAGTTCCCGATGGAAGAAGAAGACCTTTGTTGGTTAGCTTTGAGACTTCACTTGGGCATCTATGGACCTTTATATGTGTTCAAGACCCAAGCTTAATTGCTCTATGTTGCTTGATCTAGGGTTTTATCCATCTTTTCTTCAAATATAAACAAGTTCAAGTAGAGAGATTATATAAAGTTGGCATTTTTATGGATCATTGAGGTCCTTTGTAGGTTATATGCTCTAGATATGGCGTTTGGTGTTGTTTTGAATCTATCCATGTGATTTTGGTCTCATTTCACCATTTTAATCTATCTTGAGTTCAAGAGATGCATTAGACATGTATGTCTATAAAGCACAGATCTTTAGAAGGTTTTTGTGTAAGAAATCCCTCTGAGAAGTTAGGATGTTCGACTTAATAGATAAGGGGCTTAATGCATTATGTTACCCTAGTGCGGTTCTCACGACGTGACCATAACATGTCACGACATGATGATGATGATTCATTGATTGTTTTGGACAGATGATGTCACGACGTAGTGGCAAGGCCATCACGATGTTACATTAGATTTGAATCAGACCAAGTTGAATTGTGAACGAGTTTGTGATTAGGCCAGGTTCATTTTCCCATAAGGTGACCATGGGTTGGTCACGATGTGAAGGTCAGCTAATAATGGTGTTGACTGCTGACTTTGACTGTTGATTAGCTTACCTACGATGACTTTTGGTCAAATGATTATTTTTGTAGTATATACTAAGATGGGACCTTCTTTGATTCGATAGGTGAGTTTTAGTACCCATTTTTGGCTTTGAGTTGTCGTTTGTCTGACTTTATGAGAAAAGTGAGTCTACTCACTAGACTATCTAGGATGTTGGCTGTTGTAACATTTGCAATTTTTAGGCATGTTCCTTTCAACCCTTATTAGTGAACTCTTTTCATGTTGGTCCTTAGCCAAGTACAATGGGCGTACTCTATGAGTATGTTGGGCGTACTAGATCAAGGGTTAGACACGAAGGTACCCACGTACTCTGGGTATAAGTAGGAGTAAGATAAGCATACACTAAGTAGGGGCAAACCCTAATTTTTAGGGTTTGTACCATATTTAATCAACTTATGTTGCCTTGGAAGTGTCTTATGTTCATCCTCCACTTCACCAAACCCTAAGAATGAAACCCTAGCCTCATTTGAGTATTAATGAGCCATTATGTGATTTTGTAGTGGTTTTTTGGTCCCTTGAAGGAAGTGAAGCTTGGTGGTGAACATTTGGTGGACTTGGAACTTGAAGATCAATGATCTTCATCAACTTTGCAAGCTATTTTATGTATAAAGCTACTAACTTGATGGTTCCTTATGATAGATCTAGTTTAGTGCTTTATTTATGTATTTTTGGGTCCTTTAAGCCATGCTTGGTAGATGGGCTACTCCAGCCGCTTGGGGTGATTGATCTAGGCTTTTCTGAGGTCCTGTGTTCATAAAAATGATAGATTCAGGGTTTAGCTCAAACATTCAAGGTTGATGTTCTTCTTAATGGAGTAAAGATGCTAGATTTGGACTATGAGGTGATTTTAGCCATGCAAAGGCTTAAATTCTTCGACTTTATGGTTTAAGGCCTTAATATAATGTTGATTTGAGTATCGGATGTTAAGTACTTAAGAGGTTAAAACTTTTGGGCAAGGACTAGGATTCAGGTCAGTACGATGGGCGTACTCTTAAGTACGCATGGCGTACTAGTTGCAAGCCCTATTTCTAGATAAATCGCATATATAGGGCGTACGAGCCAGCTACATCAACCATATGCTAATCAGTGGGCTGATGAAGGGTGGGTTTGCATAATTTGGGCTTTGTATTAATTGAGCTTGGAGCTTTAACTTCTATGAAATTAGTTCATTTCCGGACTTTGGGCTATTATTTGACATTCAGCCTTCTTGGATTGGACTCATAATAGGATTTGGGTGCCATTTTGGATTTTGGGCTTTTGCAGCTTTTGGGTTGGGCTTTGTTATTGGGCCAAGTGAGGAAAGGGTAAAATGGTCTTTTACCTGGAAGTTAGACAATTGAATGAGATTCATAGTTTTGGTTTATACCCCAACTTATTAATTATGTTTATTTGAATGGTTAGCGCGTGGAATTTCAAGATCAGCAGTCCAAGCTTTTATTTAAGATATTTAGCACCTTGAAGTAAGTTTCCTCACTGTTATTGGCAGGTGGAAGGCCCCAATGTCGGTCTATGGTTTATTATGATTAGGATGCAAGTTGTCTGCGTAACTCTTGCATGTATGTTATGTGATATGTATATCGGGCGTGGTCTGATGCCAAGCGGGGCCTCGTTAGTGTATTGTATGCTATTTATCTTAGTGATTCTTGCATGTGTTTTGTGTGTTTGTCTGAATATCAGGTCGCGCCCGATACCAGGGGGGCCTAATTAATGTGATGA